GCTAAATCACTGCTGTTTTTAAGTGGCATATTGAATACTATTTTCTACCGATTGTTTAGCAATTCGTGGAGAACTCGTTTGAAACAGGTGCATACAAGCTTAACAGGGATTTCTTCGAGTGAAACTGATGAGGTTTGTTCGCACAAGCGATTTTCTTGCTCTCAGTAGTTCCATTACTATTTCTACTTGTAATAAGCTTTCATTCTTTTGGACTTTCTTATCTTTGCTAAGGTCATGGTTAGCATATATGCCTCTCCTCTTCATATATTTGGGTTAGGCTGTTTAAAAATCAATACTTGTAGGAATACGTTATTACTTGTTGGCAAAATGTTGAACCTCGTATGATACAGTTTTGCTGTTACAAGCCGAATTTGAGCAGCATGCTAGTTTTTCAAAATATCTTCGTTTTGGTTGTTTTCTGTTGTCCACATTAATTGGAATTTCTTCGACCGCATTTTGTCATCCTCTTCCAACAACGTGTTGAGCATCAGCACCTTACAGTTTTTGATTTATGTTTGTAAAGTTTGCAATTCCTTCAAAGAAATTTCGTATTTACGAAAGACATATACTACCGTGTTCTATTCAGGGGCTCGCATAGCGCAGTGGTCAGAGGCGCCCTGCAGTACACATGGGATCGACCCAGGGCCCCAGGCTCACCAAGCCTTCCATCTCTCCGGGGTCGGCAAATTTGTAGCGGACTTGTCTGGGAGGACAGCAGCACTGGCTGAATATACCGGTTGACCACCGCGAGTCATAGTCAAGGCCAGATCAATCACCTCCAACAATGTTTAATGAAGTACAATGCATGGCGCATCCCTCGGGGATTGATCAACGCCGAGAGCTTTATCCTTTGTCCTTTATTGTGATGCATATGCTTCAATATATTTGACGTGTTATAGGGTCTTCAGTACTTGTCTATGGCTGCAATGCACTATGATAGTACAGTTTTGACAACTTTTTCATTCGATGTTTTTCTTCAATAAGCAGACAAGAGGTTATTATAGAATTTATTAGTATACAATGGCTAACGTTTCGGCGGTTTCATATTTTTCAGAGCCTGGGAAAATCAAAGTGACATGCGGTCTACTCAACCAAACACTTTCATAACCCTAGCAGATAAAAACTTAACAAATAAATTTGCATTCACATAAGAAACAGCTTCATTTAAACACCTACCGTTTACTTGTTATAAGTATTTAAGTTAGTTGGTGGATAGCAGCCGCACAGAGTAATACATGGGCGAGGATTGTGCCATGGCGCTAGGTCACTTGTTATGACAAGACACTCATCCTTGCGGTTCATTTTTGAATTTTCGGAATCGATCCAGAACGCTTCAAGAGTTCTACGCGTTGATGTTTTCGATTCTTGCATGACGATAGGGACTCCTACCTCAAAATCTTCTCCGTTGTATTTCTGCATCCTATGCGCGCCTAGTGGAGTGTCTTGTTCTAATTTAGATTCACCAACTAGGTGTTTTTTTATGCGGACGCAGAGTGGTCTACCCGTTTTGCCAATGTATTCGTCCCCGCACGCTTTAAAGAGGTGAGATAGACTGTACCCGAGCTCACGCAATCACCGTCTCTACTGTTAGGGAAAATTATGCAGTCTTTCGTTGTACACAGGCGGTCATATAGGCGGTTGGGAACGCCCTGGCGTCTTAGAGTGTCGGATGGTATTTCTATCATTTTTACGGAATTCTCTAGACTGGCCTTTATTAAGCAACGTTTTATAGCTGCAATTATTTAGTTTGAAATAAAGGACAAGAGGAACGGAGCCTTGTTCTCGCTAGAATTATCGCTCTGGGGCGTGGTTTTTCCTCTATGCCAATGCCGAGAAGCTACAGTTTCGTAACCATTTGAAATGGCTATTTGGCGCACCAGTTTCGAGGATTCTTCCCTCTGCTCCCTACCTGTGCACACGCTGGTGGCGGTTCGAAACATATTTCTTATAAGCGCCCTTTATGTGTCTTTTCATCACTCCTGACCTGGCGCCATACCTCAGGCCGATCCAATGATCTGATACAGGCGCAGTCCTCGTCATGTATTACTCTGTGCGGCTGCTATCCGCCAACTAACTTAAATACTTACAACAAATAAATGGCAGGTGTTTATATGAAGCTCTTTCTTATACGAATTCAAATTTATTTGTTAAGTTTTTATCTGCTAGGGTTATGAAAGTGTTTGGTTGAGTAGACCGCATGTCACTTTGATTTTCCCAGGCTCTGAAAAATACGAAACCGCCGAAACGTTAGCCATTGTATACTAATAAATTCTATAATAACAACCTCGTGTGTGCTTATTGAGGAAGACGTCAAATTGTCAATCAATACCGGGGTTAACAGAAAGTCGGTCTTGGGAATTTTTTCATTCCTGAATATCTTTAGAGATCCTGATCGGAAATCGTTGCAGCCACAACACTTCCTCAATTCAATTACTTATTTCAAAGATTGACTTTTCTTAACTTCGGTATTAATCAACAGTTCTCTGTTTTTTTTGATAAGCACTCACGAAGTTGTTATTGTGTGCCACTTTTTCATAGCAGATAACGTTCCAGCGGATTCCGTCATCTTGGAAGCCTGGAAAGTTGAATTTTCTGCGACCTAGCTGGCCAAAAACTTCCATAGCCCCAATAGGAAAACCATAATCCTTTGATCTCAGTTGCATTCGAAACAAATTGTCTCCACACAGTTACCACCTCTGAGTGTTCTGGTGAGTATTCCACTTGGAAACGAACCGTGCAGAGTTCACATGGATGATGAATATGTGCTTGTGACGTTAAAATATCAGTCTGAAACAATGTGTGTGATCACGCGTGGTAACAAAGCATTCCTTCTTGTGGTTCATTTTTGGATCCTCGAAATTTATGCAGAATGCTTCGAGAGTTTGATGCGATGACGTTTCAGATTCCTTTGCGAGAATGTTCACTTCTACATCAAAATCTTCGTTGTGTATTTGTGACCTATAGGTGTCTGCTGGAATGTTTTGTTTGGCCTTAAGTTTCCCAACTAGGTGCTCTTTTGCAAAGACGTGGAGTTGTCCACTCGTTTTACCAACATACTCGTCCTCGCTTGCTTTGCAACAGATCAGGTAAACCATACCCGAACTGATGCAATGAGTGTTTCTACCGTTATTCCAAACTATGCAATTTCGCGCTGTGCTTAGATGGTCGTGCAAAAGATAACGAGCTAACCGGCATCTTAAGGTGTTCAGTTCAAGTACTGTCAGTTTCTTATCTACTAAGTGCCACATTAGTGGAGTTATTTTTACCACGTAGGGTTCTTCTAGGACGGCCGCAATTGCCAGAATTAGTGGACTACCTTATTTGGAATGGTATGATAGGCCTGATCTGATTGGGTTTACGGTGCTATTTACATTTTTTTTTGCCATCTGGCATGGATGATTTAGGTGTTGTTCACGAGCTTTGCAATCATGACATTTTCTAATTATGCGTAAATATAAGTGTACTGCCAATGTTGTGCTCTCTAAAACGTTTGCCGCGTATGAAGTATTGAGTTTGTAGTAAGTATAATGGTTTTAGTTTATTTTTACTTACGATCTTAGAATGTGCTTTTCAACGGTTTACCGCCTCATTGTGGGTGCGAGGTGTTCCTGGGTGTCGGGCTGCAATGTTCAGCGGGGGGATTCATCCCCTCAGCAGAGCCTCCAAAGCTGAAAAGGAGTCCAGCTGTTCCATAAGGAAGCCCAGCTAAGATAAACCAATACTAAAAGCTCCATCACCGTCCTGGTATCAAACTATTCGCATGATGGTAAATCTCTCTCTGATTCACAAGAGTCGCAACCGCCTGTGATGGTGACTACCTGGGACAGACATTGGCTGAGTTGATCTCGTGACTCCAGGAAACCACATTGGCTAAACCAGCAAAGCTCCGAAAAAATCGAAATTGTGCTAGGGTCCGCACAATCAGTGAAGACAGGCCATCCAAGAATCCAAGTGGAAGAACTATGAGACTGACACCGTTTAAGGTTTTATACGTGGATAGAAATAAATATTTGGGTCACTCCATCGATGTTCTCTAAAGGTGTTAAATAACATTAAATAATACACATAATTTCAATTATGTGTATTATTTAATGTTATTTATTTAGTTCTATTTTAGTTTATTAGTTATTAGTATTTAGTTTATTTAAAAACTAGTTCTATCGATCTTTGCCACAGCAATCACCTCTCATCGGGATTCTAGCCCTTTAGAGTGATCCTGATCTAGAAAAAATATACATAGTGTACGACGTGACTAGGGCGCGGATAGCACAGTAGTAGTGATGTTCGTCATCATGAGCATGGTGCTAATTCGATTCTGCTCCGGGCGATCCAAGCATTTCATCTCTCCATGATCGAGAAATTGGTACCGGACTTGTTTGGCAAAAATTCGCTCTCTGCAATCCAATTGGGAACATTCCAGCCCAGCTATCTTAGGAGTCCAGAGAGAATCGCTCGACCAGCATTCTTCGACGTTCAAGATGAGATGAAAATCCTCAAGCAGCAACCGAAGCCACACGTAGAAGTTAGAAGACCTTTGTGGAAGATGGTTGCGAGGAAACGAATGCGAGAAGTGCTGGGATCCACACAGTAGGCCTGAAGACGGACCATATAAAATAGAAAAAAATAAAAAATCGATATAAGCTGTAGAGCTTTCGAGCTGTTGCTTTGCATTTAGTCGTAGAGAAACACCTACCACGCTATGCTGGACTAATCCTATAGTTTAGGCATGTGCAGTATTGAAGATTTCGCTTTTTTAATATCATTTATAATCTTCTCTTCTTTTTCTTGTTATTCTTCAACCTTTACAGTCGTCGTGTTCTGCAGTTCCACTGAGGTATACATATGCGTACCCATGTCGGTGTCGTGATGCAGATTCAGAGTTCCTAACAAAAGTCGAGTCTGACGTCCTACTGGAAATAGCCAGAAGTTCAGCACAAGTGGTAATGAAATTCTTAAATGTTATATGTACGTGCCTCCATGAGCAGTGTAATGTTTAAAAGATGAAAAGAGAGAAGAGATTCCAAATTAAACTGGTATGTGCGTAACTACGATTCAACAGAAATTTGTGAACGTAAACACCAGTCGTCTGTTACTGCCATCTCTTCGTTTATTTCTTAACTGCTTCTTGAAATCAGTTACAAACATTCTGCTTTCAGTTTAAAGATTTTGAAACGGCATTGAAGAAGCCCGAAGATATGAAAGGTTCTTCAAAGAGGGGTCGAAAATCTTCTGTAGTGCCTAAAGAAGAACAGACAGTGACGTCAAAGCGACGCTCTACAAAGAGACGCCGTAAGGAAGGCGAGGAGAAGTCAGAGTCTGAAAAAGAATTACGGCATACGGAAAAAGCGCTCGTTCCTCCGAAGAGGAAAGAACCAAAGAGGAGCGACAAATTGGTGCTACCCGAGCAAGCTTCGCTCGACCCGAAGGTGTCTGCAATTTTTTTTTGCAATCTTGTACATTTTTCGCTGTTCTTTTTTGTACAAATACGTTAGATTTTTCTCGTAAAAATAAAAATGTGTTGAAATTGTTTTATGTCTATCCAAGATGATGGAGTTTAAGGAAGTCAACGATGGGGATTTGGATTTGAACATATCTCCTGGGCAATCGGTCTCATCCACAGGTAAGTAATTCCTACGTTATTGATTATCTATTCATCTGTTTTTATTAGTTATGAAGTGCATTTACAGTTTTTAGCCATCGATTTTGCGAACTGTGGTTCTTTGGACTTCAAACATGTGTCCTTTCTGAATAAGGACTTAAGTAATGCTAATAGCACTCTTTTTCAGATATTGCTGGTCGCACAGATGGATCTGATGTTTCAGAACTTCGAATGGTGAGGTTTTCCATCTTATATGTCTAGCCTTGACCTTTCGTATTGGTGGTTTCACTTTGTTGGAAATAAGTGACATCCAGGATAAATCGTCTTCTGTAAATATTAAAAGCTGGTCAGAGGAACGAATCATTAGCCATTTTGGTCTGAAGGAGTTTACGATCGATATTTCGGAATTCCCACATCATGAACTTCAACCGTCAACAAGCAATCAACGTACGTTTTCTCATCTTTATATATTGCCAATCAGATCATTATCGATGTTTTAGTTGCTGGTGGTGGAACAATACGAAAACTAAGCACTGACGAATTGGCAAATGGCGAAGAACACTCCCATTCCAGTAAGAATAAGGAAAATTTGGTAGGACTTGAGCACAAGAAAAAAAAGCGGAAGCGCTCATTATCGTCTTCGTCATCAAGGTCATGTTCCTCATCTGACAGGGGAAGAAATAACCATTCGTGAGTTAGAAATCGTTCTGAATGGCTATCTGTGGTTCTTTCTTATCACAACTGTCGTAGGTAACATGTCTGCCTTTTTAAATTCTATTTAGGTGTAATGAATCTGGAACAGAACCGAGTCCACAGACAAGGAACACCAGTAAGAAAAAAGGACATAGTGAAAGGTATCGAATATTATTTGAAGGGTATGGTTTTTATTGACAAGGTTATAGAATTTTGAGGTAAGTCTGCTGTCATTCATAACTGTTAATCGGAGTAATTATATTATGCGGTCTTGAAACATCATTCGTAGAAAATGCTTAGGAGTGATCTTTGTTCACAAAGGTTAGTCACGTAAGTTCTCCTCCTAGCTATTGAGGTATAATGAGAACTGCTGTGGCAAGGAATATTTGCTCCAACTAGCTCCAACTTTAATATTAGATTATTTTATTCTGAAGAAATTGTTCGCATCCTGTTCCAAAAATATCGCAGTTGTTTCATTTATTGATCTCATAGAGGTGTCCTATACCATATACTTATCACTACGTATACCTAAATCACTTATAAATCTACTTGCGCCTGGTTGTACAGCAGATGGTTAAACCATCATATTGGTCTAGAGATCGTCTCACGACCATAGCATGGCCCACTTGTAGTCCTTATGGGGATCGTATTTGTATCATATTGGGAGAGTTGGATCACGCATAAGTGAGAAGACTCATTATTTTCTCAACACATTTGATTCATTATCAAAATGGTACTGTCGTTTTTTGGAAGTACGAAGACTGCTGCATTGTGTTGTGTTATTAATGGTCAGTGTTTTTCCTTTCTTTGAAGAAACAATATCCACTTATGAGTGTGGTGGGAACCTTATATGTCGTTGACACTTGTCTTGAAGAATTGTTGAGTTCTTCGATAGTTAATTCACAAAGAATAGTGTGTATTGATGGAAAGACATCACCTGTATCATCTTTCGTCCCGTTGATTATCGACTGACTGGAGCAGACTCCAGTAAATCTATTTCTCCTTGTCGCGTACAAAAGTAGCCTAGCGTGCTGCGCTCACTCTAGGGGCTTATTGTCCACCATAACTTTCTTCCTAGGGTTTTCGTGAAGAACTCTGACCATCAGGTGACTGCTCTTCCTGCACGTCTGACATCCCGAGAAATGCAGTCGTGAACGGTTGTTGTTCATAAGTTGTAATTCAAGCCCTTCACCTATCCTGCTCACCTTATTTTCGACAATTTGGAGTATAAAACGATGTCTTTGATTTATGATCTTGACATTCTTTCGACTCCGCGTTCAATAACGCGGGGTAATATTTCATCCAGGCTTCTGACGCATACGTTGGTCTATACCGCGGCTCTCCTGGCCCATACATTAAGGCATGGAGAATCATGGAGTCCAAAAGTGGGCTTGGAGTCATGTATTCTTTGTTCCTCTTACTACATTCTCGGTGCTGTTGAAAACTGTTCAAGCTGTTCCCTTCCACCTGCTCAACTCTGGTGCTATGTCGTTCGCCATATTGATTTACCGACCTAGATAGACGTAACTAGAACATTTGGAGGTATTCGTAGCGCTGTACTTGAATGGTACAAGCGAAACCAATCCGTTCCTCATAGACATCGTTTTTGTGATGTTTAGTCGAAGACCAATCTTACCACAAGCATTATCAAAGTCGGCAAGCATTCGTATCGCCTGGCTTAATGCTTGATGGCCTAAGAACAATGTGATCAGCAAAGAGAAGATGCTTTATCATGGTTTCTCACTACCATGCTACCCCATTTGATGTTCTCTAGGGTGTCACTAAATGATTGTGGCAGTGATGTTGCCTTGCCTAGCCCCTCTTTTGACGTCGGTGTTAATACCGTTGCAAAATGTTGACAGTTTGGTTGGAAAACTTTTGTGTAGCTTACGAAGAATCCTGTATACTGAGTAGGGACACTCTGGCTGTCTAGTACCTCCATAACTGCTTTTATCTCAACTGAGTCAAAAGCTTTCCTTATATCTATGGAAGTTAGACACAGCAGTCTCTTGTATTGTCGTAAAACGTCGTAATGAATCCTTTTAGAAACTCGGCTTGCTCACATGACTGCATTTTGTCTGGTGTACCCCCAGTCCGATTGATTCAGTTGAAGAGAGACAGATAACAAGCAGGACGACAGTTACGGGTTTCGTGGACTGTACTTTTTCGAACAGTAGCACAGTCGTGCTGATCTTCCACTAAGTAGGGACATTTCATTCAGACAGGGAACGTGTGAACAGCTAGGCCATTGTGTTTATGACGACTTACGTAGGATTCTTCAGGTTATCAGATCTTATTTTGTCATGTCTTGGTCCCGTTCGATTTTCCACCGACTAAATAGCATGTCGGATTTTTGAAGGGGGAACGGTGGTACGAGACATCCATCCTCTTTGATTTCATATGGGGGCAGGAGGACACGGCTATTGAAGAGATCCGAGTAGTATTCGTGAATGGTTTTCTCCATTGCCTTTCTGGACCCTGTAACTGTTCCGTTATCTTCGTCACAGCTTGGTGTTGGTGCGTAGATGACGAAATTTGTCAAATTCGGTACTGATCCACTTCTCTTAATAACTCGAAAGACCGACTTTCTATAAATCTCGGAATAGATAGTTGATATATTTATTTATATGACCTTATAAACTGATCCTCTTAAGCTGATGCGAGGTTGGTACAGGTCTTCGTTGTCGTTGTCGTTGTTTTTGATGTTGTTGGTCATGGTTAGCGTTTCGGTGACTTCGCCTTCCTTAGAGCCTGGACGTATTTTGTATTAGAATATTTTTATTATTCGGTGGAAAAAAAGGTTAAGGTATTAATGAAGATCAAACTTTCATATAGACGCCATATTGAACAGAAAAGCCACCGTGATGTTACATGTGGGACTGGCCCACGCGTAGTTCACGTGGTGTCGCGAGCAAGACACACCTTGGTGTCAAAATAATATCATTTTGAAATAGGGCGCCAGGTCACGTGTGACAGTGAGGCATTCGTCTTTTCGGTTAATCTTCGGTTCTTTTTGAAATTTATCCAAAACGCCTCAAGAGTTTTGCGCGTTGATGTTTTTGATTCCTGCGCTAGGATCCGCACAGTCACTTCAAAATCATCGCCGTTGTGCTTTTGTGCCCTATGCGTACCTAGAGGACTTTAACTTTTCCATCTAGATGTTCTTTTATGCGGACATAAAGTGGTCTACCCGTTTCTCCAATTTATTCCTCCCATGCGTTACATGAGATCAAGTATATTATACCTAAACTCGTGCAATCCCCATCTCTTGGATCATAGTTCTCTGATGGTGGCTATTAGTTATTTAAATGAATCGATGTTCATTAGCAAAGTTTTGCTGATGATAACGCCCACACCACCGACCTCCATTGTCGCATCTTCCGAGGAATAGTTCCCCTCCTGTGTCATAGACGGCGTTGAATGGGTAGTGTCTTCTTGAATCAGCTAGTTCGATGACGTTGTACCTTATCCTTCTTGCCACCATGATCAAGTCCTCTATGGAGAACTCAAATGCGAGCAAGCGTGCATTGTAGGTGCAGATCGTCACCCAATCCTTTTGCGATTTAGGCAAATAGAACAGCCTTGAGAATTTAGCAGCTCTCCTTACTCATTGTATCCTGTATCCTGATCTGTGGAGAAGTGTAAAAATAGTCGCTGTGGGCCTGAGACCACCATATGTCTTTTCGAAGCGAACTTTAGAAATTGAAATAATGTTGGGGTACTTGGAAACTTGGATGGCCTCACTGGTTGTGCGGGCGCCCTCCAGCATATTCTCTATTTTTTGGAGTTTTGCTGGTTTAGCTGTTGTGTTTCCGTGGAGTCCTGGGTCAGGGCAGCCAAAGTCCGTGCCAGGTCGTCTCCACCACAGGCAGTTGCAACCCTTATGGATCAGAGCGAGATTTACCATCACGCGACTAATTTGATACCAGTATGGTGGTGGTTCCTAGTAGTGGTTTAGTTTTAGCTGAACTTCCTGGTAGAAACACCGGACTCCTGCTCAGCTTGGGAGACCCTGCCCTGGGATGAAATCCCGGTGTACATCACAGTCCGACACCCAAGAACACCTCCCTGCCGCGATGAGGCGGTAAACCGTTGGGAGAAATTGAAATAATAACAATCAGAATCGAAAGATTTTTGACAATGACGTAAAAGTCCTCTTGTTCCGTAGTGTTTACACAACTTTTTAAAGTTCTATTGACAACAACACGTAATTTTCCTCCTTTGTTCTTCTAAGCTTGAATTTCTAACAAACGATTGTGCAGTCGGTATTTCATAGAACACGGTTTGGTGGTGTTCTGTGGTACTCCAATATTGTTTACGTTGGGTGCTTTGAAAATTCAAAATTCGTTTGAATTAAAGATTTTGTAAACTTCAGTTTTCTAGAAACTTCAGAAGTCCGTATTAATTCTAACTGAATTTTCTTTTTTGATATTTTTGTTAAAGTTATGAGTTGCCGTGAATCGATGAAGTAATGTGTCTTCTATAATATTAGCAGGCTCTAAGCTACTCATCTACTGTGGCTGTCAAAAGATTAGTAGTTAAGAAAAACAGCGTCGTTTGCTTAGTAGCTTTAAGTAAATGAGCAAAGAAAAATTTATGAATGAAACTGAAAAACCAGTTGTTCGTTTCCACTGAAAGATTGGGTTATACATTGGTTAAAGTCATACATTCGCAATGGTTAGTGATATTTACATTCCCTTAGGGACCAAAGTGCTGCATCATTCTCTTTCGCAACACTCTTTCAGCCCGTGTAGGGACGCCTTGGCTCGACTGTCTTCAAAAGTGCAAGGGAAATCGAGTCGGACATCATTATGCGACATTCATTAACAAGACTAAATTCTCAAGCAACAACCTAAGCAACACGCGATATGTGTTTATATTGTTTAGCTTACACGAGGTTGATAGAGTTTTTTATTCGGCTGTTTTGAAGACTTCGTCTTCATCAGAGCCGATGATCCTTGTCGATGGTACACAGCTGTTCCTGTTCTCGATGTAGGGTCTTCGTCTCGTATCGAACCAGATCTTCCTCAGCTGAACATTTCGAATGAGAGGATGCCATATTGAGAAGGGGAACAACAGTGGACCATCGACAAGGATCGTCGGCTCTGATGAAGACGAAGGCGTCGAAACAGCCGAATAAACATCTATCAACCGCATGTAAGCTCAATAATATAAACATATGTTTACTACATATATATATATACATATATATATATGTATATATATACGTCCTTGCTAAAACATACAGACTTTAGGTTTATTTGGAATTAAAATTAGTGGAAAATAGAAGATAGAAAAGCAATTTTCAACGCTAGCACTGCTACCTCCTGCACTTACAACGTATTCGGAGGCGCTATAGTGTCCTTCTGGTGAAGTATCGCTTTTTCGACGTCTTAACTGCTGAATTTATAGGATCGGAAGGAAGCAATGAACGGGTTTATGAGCATTAGAAGTTTTCAATCTTATTTGATAAAATTGGAAGGCTTCTGTCTTAGTGTACATTTGTTGATTCTGGCAGTTCTTGTTTTCTCCAACCAAATTTACTCTTTGTTTGCGGTTTAAGAATTTTCGTTAAGTATGCAATGAAATCGATGGATATAGTCGCAGATGTGTTGATTTACCTTTTACTTGTTCAGACCATGTGTTGAATGCGGTCGATTTCTTGACTCTTGTGTCACGGAATGGAAGGAAACTCTTGGCACGTCAACAGTTTGGTGCTCTCGCGATTGTATTGAGAGGCGGGTCGCAAGAGCGCATGAGGTATAAATTATTTTCCGAGTTAGGGTGTCCTTGCTTTCGATTTCAGTGGTGTTTGTATGTTGTCACCGCTTATGTTTCACAAACCACTCCATGTTTTCATTAGGCGTCTTCGCTAAGTCAGTGACTATTAGCCTGAAACGAGTAAGCAGGTCTCAATTCAAATTTAAGGTTGAAATTTTGATTATACGCTGGTCATCTTAGAATTTGTAGTGTCATTTGCTACTTCTTGCTTATTTCGTTTACCTCTTCGTTATGCCATCTCTTTGGTGTTGAGTACTTTCACTTTTACGACCATATATAGGGGCTAGAGTGAAGTTAAATTTAATTATTCGGCCAAACCAAAACTTCGCTTTCCTAGGAATTTTTTTTCGTAAATTATTCTGTCAATTTTTTTCCTGTGACTTTTAATGCTTTGCGTTTATTACTGAGCGTTAAGAGCTTCTATGAGATCTAAATTTAGATCTAGATCTAACTGCTTTCGTAATGTGCATTTTTTATGATGTTTCATATTTGTTGCAGAGTGACATTGCACCTGATATGAATTTTTCAGGTATTACCAGAAGGTTATGGTGCCTTAACATTGCTTCGAGGTGATGGCCAATTATTAACGACGGGTCCAACTCTGACGAATTTGGCTGAGTTCATTTTCAAGTATCCGGAGTATGAACCCGTCCTGCCCGTGGCAAAAAAGAAACAAGTCTCGAAAAATGGTGAAGTATATTTCTGTTGCCTTTATTCTTTTCCGTACTCCTTTCCGTCACATTTTGGGCTGCATGGGAGGATAAGTAATTAATATTGAAATTTAGTTTCTAAAAGCACTTTTATCTTTTCGAGAAATATGAAAGTCAACTATAATCTGATACCAAAAAACTGCGGTGTTGAAAGACAATTTCTCTTAACGTATGGCTATCCTGGTTCAAACGTATTAATTTCTAGATCAAGGTCCGGATACAAAAAAGTCAGTGTCGAGACCCTTATCAAAAGATGCAGATCGAGTTCGTTTCAACGTCAGAAGAGCATTTTCGGATGCGCTTTTGAAAAGGTTAGCTCGTTTCTATATTCCTACGAAGCAAAAAACAAATTTATTGTTGCCTTATGCTGAATTATCACATTTTGTTTTTATGCTTTCATTTTCCCCTTTCCCTTTTTTCCCTTGCGTGCAGTGAGGGTTTATGTTATCGGGGGAAATTCTTTGAAGTCTTTTGCTGATTTTTCCTTCTACGTTTAATAGTACTGTGTTACTACAGAGCAAAGATGGATAAGGTGAAGTCGGCTATGAAGTTATGCAAAGATGTATCAGAAAATATTGAAGCAGCTCTCTTCAAATCTTGCGGTTCGAATTTTAGTTCAATATCTTATAAAACGTGGACGAAAGCTTTTATCGAGAACGTGGCCGACTGTCGAAATAAGGTGAAAATTTCTGAAATTACTTCCATTACCCATTCACTTATTAATTAAATCGATCGTTATGTGAGCTTGGTCGTAAAATGATCAACATTTATTTAAATTGTTGAGCTTACACGAAGTTAATATAGAAATATATTCGGCTAGTGTTTCGACGTCCTCGTCTTCATCAGAGTCGTTGATCTGAGTCGGTGGTCCGCAATTGTTCCTCATCTCGATCAGCTTCTACTGTCGCGTCTTGACTGGCATGATATTAGTACATAAGGTTGTCGCTTTGGATGTCGGGATGACGAACAACTGCGGACCACCGACTCGGATCATCGGCTGTGTTGAAGACGAAGATGTCGGAACATTAGCCGAACATTTTTCTATATCAACCTCGTGCAAGCCAAGCAATTTAAATACATATTGGTAAGAATAGTTTGATTTCGAAACCGACTTTCCTTGAACCTCGGTATCACTAATCAATATGTATTCTTTCTTTGATGAGCTTACACGAAGTTGATAATGATGTTTATTTTCGGCTAACGTTTCGACGTCTTCGTCTTTCTCAGAGCCGATGATCCGAGTCGATGGTCTTCGCTTGTTATTCGAGGAGATGGCTCACTGAAGAAGACCTGACTCGACACGAAGGCGAAGCTGCCACGTCGAGACGAATAACAAGCGAGGACCATCGACTCGGTTCATCGGCTCTGAGGAAGACGAAGACGTCGAAACGTTAGCCGAAAATAAACATCATTATCAACCTCGTGCAAGCTCATCAAAGAAAGAATACATATAGAATAGCTTGAATTTATTTTTTCCTATTTCATTATCTTACTGCTTTACTTTATAATATTTAGGGCTTCTACTATCGCGTCTTGACTGGCTTGATATCAGTGCACAAGGTTGTCACTTTGGACAGGAATCAAATGAGGAAGCCGGAGTACTCCAGTCCTTTGGATGGTTTGTTTCGTATTGCTAAACTTGCATAGTGACATTCACCAGGGGATCATGAGGCATGTTATAGGTTAAACCGAGTTGGTTCTTTTTTCTTCGTTTGAATAAATAGCGTAAGACTGTTCCGAACTATCTCAAAAAACTGACTTTCTATAAACTTCGGCATAGATAGTTGATATATTTATTTATATGACCTTATAAACTGATCTTCTTTAGCTGCAACGAGGTTCGTACAAGTCTTCGTTGTCGTTGTAGTTGTTGTTGGTGTTGTTGGTCGATGACTGACGTTTCGGCGTTTTCGCCTTCCTCAGAGCCTGGACGTATTTTATATTAGAATACTTTAATCATTCGGAGGAAAAAGGCTAAAGTATTAATGAAGATCAAACTTTTAAATAGACGCCATGTTGAATAGAAAGGCTACTCACCGTGATGTTACCAATGAAACTGGCCCACGCATTGTTCACGTGGGGTCGCGAGCAAGACACACCCCAAGGGCCAAAACATCATTTTGAAATAGGGTACCAGGTCACGTGTGTTGATGAGGCATTCTCTTTCCGGTTCATCTTTGGATTTTTGAAATTCATCCAAAACGCCTCAAGAGTTTTACGCGTTGATCCGCACAATCACTTCATAATCATCGCCGTTGTGCTTTTGTGCCCTATGCGTACCTAAAGGTGTGTTTTGACGAATTTTAACTTTCCAATCTAGATGTTCTTTTATGCGGACACAAAGTGGGTCCCAATATACTCCTCACCGCGTGCGTTACATGAGATCATGTATATTATGTATATTATATATATATATATATGTATAGTGTATATTATAGTATATGATTATAGTGTATAGTATATATTATGTATAGTATATGCCTGAACTTACGCAATCCGCGTTCCTCCCGTTAGGGCAGATCATGCAGTTTTCTGATCTGCACAAACGATCATAGAGACGGTTGCGAACTAATTGACGGCGTAGGGTAATCGGTGGTATATCAATAATCGTTACATAATTTTCAAGACCACTTCTTCTTAAGAACTTTTTAATGGCGTGACTTGCTTCATTTGATATGAAGGGTAGCTTAAAGGGGATCTTACTTTCGTCTGAAATATTATTTTGGGAAACTACCTAATGTTTTCCTCTAACCCGAGTGGCTTCTACTTCGTATCCAATGGAAATGGCAATTTTTCGTGCCAGGTTTCGCGATTCCTTCCTTTCCTCTTCTCCTGTGCAAACATTTTTAGCCGTACGATACATATTTTTGATAAGTGCTTTTTTTCATGTGTTAAGGATGAGAGGAGAGGTAGTGAACTAGAAGGTTTTCACTACTTAGCTTGGGATACCATTTTGTTATATAGCCACTCACTGAGAGCTTTATTTGGTTGTTTAAGAATGGAAGCCAGTTCTCGGTTGGTTGTTTTCGTGTAAATTTTATATGCTCTGGCTGTCGGTTTAACAATTCAAAGCACTCATCCATCTGTTCTTATGTGGAACAGATGATGAAGCAGTCGTCTGTGTATCGACAGTAGAGTAAGGGTCGGTGATCGGGAACTGGAGCTTCCACCTTAGACATGAAAACGTTGGCAAGGTTTGGTGCTAAACGCTGTCCCATGGCCAACGCTCTAATTTGTGCAGAATATTTTCCAAAATAAAATTAGAAAAATAAGATGAACCGGAAAGACGAATGCCCCACTATCACGCGTGACCTGGCGCCCTACTTCAAAATGATATTTCTGACTCCAGAGCTTGTCTTGCTCGCGACCTCACGTGAACAACGCGTGGGCCAGTCTTACTCGTAACATCACGGTGAGTAGCCTTCCTATTCAATATGTTGTCTATTTAAAAGTTTGATCCTCATTAATACTTTAACCTTTTTTCCTCCGAATAATTAAAGTATTCTAATATAAAATACGTCCGGGCCTGAGGAAAACCAAGTCGCCGAAACGTGGGCCATCGGCCAACAACACCAACAACAACGACAGCGACGACGAGGATCTGTAAACAACATCGCATCAGCTAAAGAAGATCAGTTTATAAGATCATATAAATAAATATGTTCTGAATTACATACCGGATATTCAAATGGAGCGTCTTTGCTAGAAACGTTGGTCCCAACACATTAATTCCTTTCTCATGCAGTCATCGCCCGTGATAGTGGTCTGCTTCGAACATGGTAACATCAGCGATGCTTATTACTTGATTCATTATTTCTTTCCATCTGCCAATACAGATGGTTAACGTTAACAATTTGTAGTTTGTATTGAATAGTTCATGTGTCTGCTTTTCACTGTTTGGCTTGCTGCGCGAAATTCCAATGGATGCGTGAATTCGAATCTCAAACTTCGGCGAATCCTACCATGCCTGGCGAACTCCGATAGATTTCGATTCATAACTAGAGTTACGAGGGGATTGCTTAGGAATATAAGAGGACGGAGAAGTTAGAGAGTACTCCCTGCGACATACAGAATACTGCTTTTGTATGCTCTCCACCTGTCATGAAACTGTAGCTTGTTGCTTGTGTGAGAAACATAGGAAATGGAGAGAAATTACCTCATACAGAGTCGTCTCTTTAATAGTAGTCACATCTTCGTTCATGAAAGCTGATACCGAGACATTATAAAAGCACAGGTCTCGACGATTCGTCTGCAAGTTGTTTCCTTTCTGAGCTGTTTCCAGTAGCTTTTTCTTTTCGTCCCAATATAAGTAGTCCTGCAGAGATGTTCCACAGCATGCGACTAGTAGCCTTTGGTCTCGTTTTCCTTGATCTGCAAATGATAAGAAAGGAATTCTCTGACAATGTTCTTGACATACACGGCCAATGTTCTTCTTCCTATGATCAGAGCTGTTTTGCAGCTTATGACTGGATCGCATCTTCGTACGGATACTGCGTTGATCACGTCCACTACTGAATGATTGCACCACGAAGGTGTGAAAGAAGCAGTATTTTCTGTTTATGAGAATGTGGTCGAGCTCTGCATGAGTCAATCTATTCGGCGCCACTAATATTTCGTTGCGGAATTACCCCTCCGAAGATGACAAAGGTCTCTTTATTTAAGTGAGATGTTGCGGTCTTCGTGCTTTTTTTTCTAATTTAGGGCAACCATATGGAATTTAATGCGTCCGGCGGCAAAAAAAGTAGTGAAGATGGGCATCTGAAGCACTGCTATAGTATTATACGTGCAGGAATTCCAATAACGTCCTGTGCAGCTCGGGATATGATCGTTTGTCACCTGTTGTTCCACCGCTCGTCGTCATAGGCAGGAGCACCAGGTGTGCAGCTCTTGAGACTCGTCTATTTCTGGTTGTGAAATTCGTGATTCTCTGGATTTGTCATCCTGTGACTAAGTTTATGTTAGAACGGCGGCGATTTTTGGTATTAAGCCACGCTTTCATTGGCTTCTAGGTAAAAAATGTGGAACGGATTCTCAGTGCGGGAGACTCCACCTGGTGGGAGGGGACCCAGCTCTGTGCATTGCTGTTGGATATGCAGGAACACTACTGTTTTAGAAGTGAAGTGCAATTCTTTGCACTCTGATATAGATTTCGAAAGTTTCCGAGAGAGTTCATTTTTTAAATAATTGTTGAGCAAGCTAATTTAGACGTACAAGCGTCAGTCTTTTCTTTAGTAGTTCCCGCGAACAGTGTCGTGGAACAGCGTGATGATGCATCTGTTTCGTGCGATGCGGATAAATCTGGTATAGTATTGAAGTGGTACGAAAATGCATCGAACCATTATACGTGTCTGTGGTTTAGATCTAAATGTATCTACTGTGGGTGTAATGAAGAAAGAAGGTATTTCGTCCATTATCACCAAGGTATCTACAACTTCGACCAAGAAGGCTGAACCGAAGGGAATAGTACGTGTCGCACGACGGTCTGATGCTCGAAAAGTTCCAGTTGGTTTATTCATAAAAAATCACGTGTGTATTGGGTAAAGAGGTTGGTTTAGAGTGCGAACACATCGCTTTCGACCTTGGATTCGATACTGGGAGATGGTGCAAAAGATACTACAGAGCAACATTTGAGCCATTTTTATGACGTAAACTGCAGTATTTGTCTTGCAAAACAGAAATCACAGGCAGAGGCAGAAAGAAAAGAAAAAGAGGAAAAGGAACGGCAACGAGAAGAAGACCGGAGATTTAGGGAGGTACTTTTTATACTTTTTCACTATATGACGCTTATTTAAAAATATATAAGTAGTGCTAATTGTCTAGATGCTTCCACCAATACGGCAGCCTGACTATGCGAGGTGTGGATCCTCCAGCCTTGTCGATCTTGATTACTCTATGAATTCTGGAAGAGATAGCGCGGATGAGGTATAGTGTTGTGTTAATACTTTGTGTTGAAGGCACCTGTGAAATAGTTATGTTCTGTTAGAATTTGGAATTATACACGTAACTAAGCCGTGACATCAACATGTTCAGTAATGATCTTATTGCCAAGATAAAAATAACCTTCACAAAGGAATCAAGTATTTCACTCCTGTTCCGACAGGTAATTGGACCATCGTATGCGGCAAGCAAAAAGCGAATGTAAACATGGTATCCATGATTTCGAGCCTGCATAAATTCGGCTATTACGCCAATTTGTTGGTGCTAAATGCGCTATTCACTTGGATTTTGCTCATAGTTCAGTTTTGAACAGCTAGTTTTCCGTGTTCTTTTTCACTTCGTAAAGTCGCGAAGGCTTTTCTTCCAACGTCTGTTACGTATAGGGCAATGTAGAGTTTGATAATACGTTTGATTTTGCCCTGTGGAATTTTACCCCATTAGGTGAATCGTGTTTTGAATATTCACTTATAGAACATTGTTGCATTTGGTCGTCGTTACCGTTGTATTATTCGAAAACATGACTTATCTAGGTTCCTTTTTTCCTAATTTTAGCTCCGTGTTTTAAGCTTAGACGAGTCCGCACTCCTGAAAGCACTGGTGCTGCTTGTGCGTCAGACGATGATTACGCTGTTTCTTATGGAGATCCTGAAGAGAGCTCACCATTGTTCAGTGATGAACGCGAAATTGAAGCCCAGTATATTGTTTATCAATGTTCTTATTTGCCTCGAACACCACATGAATTATTTATGCGTTATAGTTTGTTGTTTGCTCAAATGTGATGAGTTTCATAGCTGCATACGTAGGTACTCGTTACCGTGCTTTAGGAGGAATCCGTCGACGCGTGATGGAAATATCACCAGTAGTGAGTTGATGTGGAGTTGGTGAGCTGCTCATTCTTTATTGCTTTTCAAGTTTTGGTTTTTGTTGTGATGAAAGTTCTCTGGTAAAGAAAATCTGGAAGATATTTTGGGATAATACTGAACTTTTATTATTCTTAAGTTATCCTTTTAACCTTTGTTAATTAGCAAGTTATGTGGAAAGCCCTTTTTTAGCAAGCTAAATAGAAAGCGTCACATGCTTTTCATTTATTGTTTAGTTTTTTTTGTTTCTTTTTTTCTGCTAAGAACGATTGTTCAGTACACGAACAGTATGGAGTGGACAGATTTCGCTAAACAACGCATCTATGAGGACGTCATTGTGTTTAATATCGAATCCCATAGCATTTCGAGCTGCTCCAGAACTGCCACCTAAGCTTCGAATCAAGGTTAAATAGTCTTTCCATATGCTTTATTAAGTACTTACCTTTTTCCGAAGTGGAACAAGAGGATATGCGGTGAAGGAAGAGCGTAGATTAGACGTTTCTACTGGTGATCACGTTTCAATTCTGTTGTCTGTTACAATCTACACTTCTGTTGAAGAACAACTTTTGACGTCACTTTCAATTTTTAGTATTATTAAACATCATACCATGCCATGAAAAAAGAATAGGCAGTAGATAGAAAGTGATTACATTGTGTTTCATTGTGGTTCACTACAGCTTCAGCTTAACTGGGTTCAGTGCCGATTTGTGCTCACTGGATCAGTCCCGTTGACGGGTGATTGCTGGTGGCACCTATAAAACACGGGTGAGAGAAAGACGAAACGAAGGACTCGCGTGGTATAGTGGTGAACACGTTAGCCTCATCAAATGGTAATTCGTGTTCGGTGCTCACCGCAGTCACCTGCGGTCTGGGCTTTTGCAAGTATCTCCACATCATTGTAGTTGTATCTCACATAATACCTTTTCATGAAAAAAGAACGGACAGTAAATGAAAAGTGATTACATCATTATTAGTGTAAGCTGGTGGGCAGTAGCAGTGTGTTGAAGATTAAAAATAAATAATTTCTAATAAATTTAATATAGGTAGTTGTGGCGGTGCAGCCATTCTGTGTGTTTTTTGTATAGTTCAACTTATATTCTCTCATAATAGGTCTCATCAACAGTAATCAGTCTAAGATACCGATTATGTCGTACCATTACTGATCGCGTGATTCCTTTAAGGATTCGTGGCAACATTTTTTGCGGCTTGATCCGTCTGCTTCCACATATACCTGCTACAGTCGATTCTTTGAAACCAAAGAGGTTTAATTCTTGTGGCTTCTATCAACAATCCGCACCAGTTTTGCTTCCGTTGGTCATCTTATTACTTGAGTGGCTATTGGTCGTCCATGCTTTCGTGGAAGATACCAGGGAATTCGAAGAGCTTCGGACTTTTCCTATTGTGCACCAACTTTATTGTTTTGGAAAGAGTGTACCAATCGTTATGTTCAATCCTGTCTTTTTCCGTGGTTACCACCGTATTCTGGAAGCGCGGTCGACGTAGTCTGGGCCCGAGATTCCTCACTTAGTTGATATTAATGGCTTATCAGTTCTACGGAACGGAATTATTACACCATTTCTGTTCCATCTTGTCACATTATTGACAATATTGACACGGTAAAAACCACATGCCCATTCGTTTGATCGTGTGCCTAAGGTCAATTAACCCTTCCACCAGAGTCGGCATATCGGTGCCAGACTTGTCTGCGTATGTATATCAATTTAATACATTGGTAGGTCACTGCAAGTCGTTCATTACCAATGCACACTCAATCACCCTTATGATGCTTAAGGAGATGGAAACGTGGCACATCCTTAAGGTATAGATCAAAACTGGACTCTTTACCTTTTAATAATAACAGTATGAGAATTTATCATAGCAGTGTGCTTTGCTGGCTCACAGAAGACTATAGTAAAGTGCCTTTTGTTCTAAAGGCCTACTGATCTTACAATCATAGCATAACTACTTGTACATCTTTTGTTTCAACTCACACATGTAAGTCGCAGACGAATGAGAAGCTAACCATATCACCCTGCAATACCTTATGGGAAAACATAATTTCTTTCGTGCATTCGGAGTATTTTCACATTTTTTTGGGTTCTGATTTATACATTTGTCTTTCTCAAATCATTGAAAATTTTATAAACATTTCGCGGTTTCATTTCTTTGGAATTACTTTTGTAGTTTCAAGTTTTATGGAGTCAGTTGTAAAATGCTAGTACATCGTCCTCATTCATATTGATTAACCATCACGCTTTATTTTCTATAACATAGATTTTACCATTTTTAACACTCAGTGTCCAGAAGAGAAATTTCTTTACGAAATGCCTTCCGTGATAGGTGTAGGTAAAAAATCCTATTCCTTGTTATTAATGATTTTGAGCGTTAAAGTAGGTATGCGAATGCACTTTGGTTGAGCCCGTTGTCCATTATCCATTTTAGGGTCGTATTGTGCCTTTGATAGTATTCGATTATGTGCATGAAACAATGAGGAATGGAGAGCACCACGTTGCTGTTTTGCGATTAACTGATCCAGGTGATTAGAACCCTAACCGTGTTTTTTTTTTTTTTGAGAATAGTGGTTTGGATACTTACGAGCACCAGCACATCTTTAATCTTTTTAATTGGGTGGTATCAATCTGCGAGCATAACTCTTTCTCTCACAAACAGCTGATTATGTGGTTTTTACCTATCTTCTCCGTGGTTGCCAAAGATACTTCTTTTGAGGTTTCATTCCGCCATTCCTATAATTCTTCTGTTGACAACTTCCTCCATTACATGACCACCCCACCTATACTTCAACTTCAATATGTGCAAGCATTTGTATATACATATATATTTACATACATGTACATAAATATGCGTGTATACATGCCAACGTTCCTCCCAACGATTTGCCGCCTCATTGTGGCTGGGAAGTGTCCCTGTTGCCGAACTGTGATGTACAGCGGTGGGATTCCTTCCATTGCAAAGGTCTCCCAAGCTGAGAAGCATTCCAGCTTTTCCATTAGGAAGACTAGCTAAGAGTAAACGAATACTAGGATCCACTACCGTCTTGGTATCAAATTAGTCGCACGGTGGCAAATTTGCCTCCACAAGGGTTATGACTGCGTGTGGTGATGACTATATGGAGCAGACTTTGGCTTGGATGAACTCGGAACTCCAGGGAATCACAATGGCTAAATCAACAAAACTCCGAAAAGTGGAGATTATGCTGAAGCTAGCACAACCAGTGAGGACGAGCCACCCAGTTTTACAAGCAAGTAACCATGTGTTTTGTACGGTACCAAAAGCATGCATCGCAAAGCGAAATTCGTGCCTATATCATTTGTTGTCCCAACACGACTTTCCAGGGCGTAGAGCGTAATATGTATGGTGGTGGTGCCTGTTTATTGCTATTCGAGAATTTTTCCCTTCGAGTACCGAAATTTTCCTCCCAGGGCGATGCTAGATGCCTATCACAAACAGTAGCAGTCCCCGTGGATTTGAACAAATGTTGCAACCTTGCTTATAAATTTGTTCTAAGGCACAATGATTCCTAGTATATGTATATTCGTAATTAATTTTCGGGATTTAGCTTTCGAATTTGAGCTCCGGTTAGCATATCTGAGGCATGCATTAATAACATTACTGTTCGATATTTAATATGAGTGGTGTTGAGACAGTTAGTAATGCCAAATTTTCAACTTCATTTCTCACAGATATTCCATACCACTGTCATTCGCCCGTAAACTATGGTTTTCGGGTGAATGACATTGGCATGAACAAGGAGGAAATGGTAATAATACACTGGAGCAAGATTTGTTCATATTATTAAGTTGACTTAATTTGCTCACTAGGAACGGTATCGCAATGGTAGTGTGGCCGTCCTTTACACTGATGGAACCAACCTAGCAAGTAGTGGTTCAACCCGCTTCGGGCCCACTAATCCTCTCATCTCTTTGGGGTCAAGAAGTTTCTGCAAGACTTGTCCAGGGCAAGCTCCAGCACGGCTTTCTTAGGATTCAAGCCAAACTCACACGAAACAAGAAAAGCTCAGGGACCTTTGTCGATGATGGATGCGAGAAAATAAATCGAATCACAAGAAGTACTGAGTTTTGCACAGTGTGATGTATGTTATTGTCGTTTTTGTTATGTCGGCTCATATAATGAAGATATCTACTTAGATGACTTATGCAGTCGTCATCCGCGAAAGTGATCCTTATGGTTTGGCTCCGAGTTAGGGTTCGTTTAGGTTCTCTCATGAACAGTGTGAATGTTGGTCAGTCGTAATTTTTTGCGGAAAACCAGGATAACCGAGATAGGGCATTCTCAAGTGGTAACGACAAGGAAATCAGGTACTCTTAGAATGCCAGCAGATCTTGAGATTGGTCGACTTATCGCTCGAAGAAGACGTAACAGTCCGAGTTGGATCAATTTAGTATGATATAATTTAATATAGTTAAATGAAATGGAGCGGATAATAAAGTGTTAGTGAAACCGTTCACTACGATCAGGGCGACGGTCGGATCCCATCCTACGCTAGCGCTTTGGCATGGCAGTTCCAGCATTCGAAGGAAAATCAAGATTTCGAGTTAGAATGGAAGTGAATAATTTGCATCCAATGAAATTTAAGAGGTCCAGAAATCTTAAAGCAGTGGCCAAACCCACAGATCGGAATACTTTTGTGGATGATGGAATCCACGAAAATAATGGAGTTTAAGGAGTGCTGGGAACGACGCAACATTTGGTTTTGTGTTACGTAAAAAAAATGATTTAAACTTGAATATAAGCAGTGTTTGTGAGGATCTTGAAACGATATTGGTTTGGTTGTTGTGAGAGAACCTTCAAATGGGCAAACACTGTGCTTTCATTCATTCATGGGCTCCAGTAAAGAAAAAAATATCATGTCAGGTGATAATGCGAGGTGTGTATTATTTGCAGGGCGGCTTCGAAAAATCCTTTTTTCCGCTGAGTTTTACTTTGGGATTCTGTTTTATTGATGATACAATATAAGTAGCGGTTTAGACGTAGTCTTTGGTATCCCATGCCACAGTTTGTTAATTGTGCGAAACCTTAATTACCATTAGTTGTAGAATTTCAATGCCGTTTTTCTATCCCTTTTTTATCATAGTGGATTTCGAATGTGAACAGCGGTTTATTTCGATGTATGAGGATATGGTTAGAAAAGGTCGATATTTTGCTGTTGACGTACCTCAAGACACCTGCTTTAAAGATATGTACCTTATGCCACTGGCTGCTGACGAAGAACCACCAGGTACTGTTTATTGTTAAATCTCGAAACCTAGATTTTTATTTACGTTTACTGTTAAGCGGTTTTGTTACCATTCGACGGTCCAGGAATACCAAAGCGACATTCCCCGATGATAATTTGTGTGATGGTTATTTACGGACCTGGATACTCTCGTGGATTAAAGCTAAAGTATGCTTCCATCTTCACTTTATCTATTTTAAAATGTTTGGTAATTGGTTATTATTAGGAGTCCACAAGAACCGCAAGTTCTTAGTGATCATCGCCAGATACCACTTCTTTCTCGGAGATCCCCACCAAGTTGTGTTCCCATTTCTTACGAATTTGGCAACTTGAAGTATGATTGGTCTCATTTTATCAACACGCTGAATTTTATGGTTATTCTATTTTAGACCAGACGTAAGTCGTTCTCATATTCCAAGCGTTTCTATGCAATTGCTAGATACCGACGAACGCTCTGAAGTAATAGATGGTTAGTGGAATTACTACTTCAATTGTGAAGCATTAGTATATTTCTTTCACAACAACCTCTGTGGTCTTGAAAGTCCTGAACATTGGAAATACTTTGCGAAATACCTGTAAATGTGTTCTTTTAGACCCTTCATCGCGAATTAACGTACCACCCGATTTATTGCCGGCTGAAACTACCGACATTCAAACTATTCGGTCGCCGCAACAATGCAAATCTGAAACAAGTACTCCTCGCGAGCCAAGTGAAATTGCTGTACTTGGAGAGGCAGATAGTCTGCTACCTTCAAAGTACTTAGTGTTCTTAAGATTAAGTTTGTGTTAGCATTGTCTTTCTTCCGCTAGATTCCTCCCATCTCATGTCTTACAGCTTCACCGTGACAACACTTTCTTTGACAGTTTTAACTCAGAGATCGCGCGAAATTTTCAGTGAAATGATTATGGTCGGCGGAATCCTCTGACAATTTTTTCATACATGCGCGTGGTTGTATACTAGATGAGAAACACTAAAAGTTTGAGGATGAATGTGAAACGCGAAAATTTTTAGGTTCTTCTTAATGTGTAAAGAAGCAGCTAAAGAACCTTCAAAAGTTCTTAACGCGGACGAAATTGAGACTCTTCCTGACCTGTTGCTATATATTCAGCTCAATAATAAACCACGTATGTTATTCCCTTTATCTTCCATTTTCATATTTTTTTGTAAAGATAACATTTAACTTTAGGTGAGATAAAGGAAGTTGTGTCCCGGTTTATGGCCAGTTCTGCGTTATCAGATGATGATCGAGAATTAATACGAAAGAAGGTTCTGGAGAAAATTGCTAATGAAAAGAAGAAAAAATCTCAGAACAAGTTGGTGCCACTTTTACCTCTACAGCACGGAAATCATTTTTTAAAAACATACCGTTTTATCTAGAATTCTTGTCTGTTTATTATGCTGATCATCTGTACCATCTGTCGCCTCGTAGATCGCCAAGTGATTCGAGCGGGCGTCAGTAAATCTCCTTGTCTTATGAAATACTAGCCCAACATGTTCTACTCGCTGTAAGGACTCGTTGAGCATCATGTCTTTCTTCTAGGTCTTTCGTGGAAAATTCTGACCATCGGATGGGTCTCCTTCCTGCAGTACGTTTGACTTCCCGAGGAATCCAATCGCTAGCGGCTGTTGTCCATCGGTTGTCATTCATACACATTATGTCTCCGGCCCACCTTATCTTCGACTGTTTGGGGTACAGAACGGTATCTTTGATTTTTGATCCTTGACGCAGATCGGAGCTTCGGATCCCATCCCTTACTTGTGTGAAACGGGATACTCCTAGCATCGTCCTTTCGACTGCGCATTCAATAACGCAGAGTGACCTTTCATCCTGCTTACGCAGCGACCAGGTTTCTGATGCATATGTTAGAGCAGGGAGTACTATTGAGTCGAAAAGTGAGTACGGAGTCGGGTGTTCTTTGTCCGCTTTACTACATCGTAGATACTCATGAAAGCTCCCCAAGCCACTCGATTTCTTTTGCTCAACTCTGTAGCTAAGTCGTTTAACATGTTGATTTCCTGACCTAGATAGGTAACTGTAGCATTCGGAGATAATCGTTCCGTTGAGCGTTAATAGGGCATGCGAAACCAATCCGTTCCTCACGAACATCGTTTTTGTGAGATTTAGTCGAAGACCAATCTTTCGACAACCGTTAACAAAGTCGGTAAGCATTCGTTCCGCCTGGATGATGCGTGGTGTTATAAGAATGATGTCATCAGCAAGGCGAGGACGGTGTATTTTCTGTGCTTAGATTTCCACTCCCACTTAGTCCAGTTCCAATATTCTCATCGAGGGTGACGATGAGTGGTTTTGTCAAGGTGGTGAAGCCTTGTGTAACCCCTCTTTTGATGTCGATGTTAATATCGTTATAGAATGGTGGTACTTTAGTTGGCAAATTTTTTATATAGCTCACGATGAATCTCTAAATACAGAGTACCGACGCCCTGACTATCCAGGGTTTGATTTACTACTTCTATCTCATGTGAGTTGAAAACTTTTTTAGTCGGTAAAAGTGAGACAGATTTTGTATTCTCGCGAAGTTTCAATGAGTCTTGTTTTCGTGTGGATATGGTTCATCCTACTGAATCCCTTTTGAAACCATTCTTCTCTCAATCCTGTTTAAAACGACCCATGTGAAAAGTTAGCAGAGGACACAACAAGCGATAGTTGCTGACATTTTGGAGATTACTCTTCTTGAACAATATCACGCTCTTGCTGATCTTCCACTGTATAGGATGCTTGCGTTCAGATAGGAAAGGTGTTGAGAACCAAGCCCGTATTAAGATTGACGGAACGGTCTTCATTTGTTCTTACCTTATCCTATCCGGATCTGGGTTGTTCGGTTTTTCACCGGCGATATGGTATACCGGATTTCGGAAAAGAGGACCGGTGGTCGAAACATCTATCCGCTTTTCTTTCGTATAAGGGCAGGACGACGTTGCTATTGAGGAGATCCTAGTAGTGATCGTGAATATTTTTCTACATTGTTTTCCTTGAACTTGCGACTACTCCATCTGGGCGTCCATCATTGTAGTGCAATCATCTTTGTTTTCTAATTACCGAAGTGTTGATGGGCTTTGCGAATGCTTTTCCCAGCCTTTGCGGCTACGAATGTAATTGCTGCTCCTCTTTCGTTAAGATCTTTTGTCGCCTATCTGCATTATTTTGGAAGTTCGGACGTGCGTTATCGGTTGCCGCACCTCGTGCGATTCCATGATGGGGTATCAGCTCGAGTATTTCTGGAGACAAACGTCTCTTGGTGACTTTCAAACACTCAGCTTTCATAGCGCTAATGTGAGTATGTTGAATGAGCTGATCGTATTCCTCGTTGGTGTTGTAAATAACGACCTTTTCTAAACAGTGGAGATGATCTGAATCCTAGTTCTTAATGTTTTATTCATTGTAAATATCGAGTTAAATGTTGAAAATTTTCGTTTTAGAGTTGCAGCAGCGGAAGAAAGCACATCGCGATCTGTCAACCAACCTAAAGTTGTTGGTGTCAGAAAGTCTGAAAGCAATGAAACGTTGAATTTGAACTCCTTAGATTTTGATTCTTTGAATCAGTTGTCTACTTTTGTTGGTGCAAGTGTACAGGACTTGCTGAAACAGGGAGAGAAGGTTAGAACTCTTTCAAAGACACAACTCAAACTTTCACGCCGTGATCGTATGGTTTGTAGCTAAAAGAAGACACTGAATTTTTCCCTACTCCATCGTCTCCACCTCCGCCACCTCCGCCGCCGTCTGCAGTAGCCATGACAGATGACAATAAATGTGCAAAAATTGGCGTTGAGGAGGTGAGTTCAATGAACTATATCTTGAACTTTGGTTCAAGCAGCGATTAATAACATCACTTGATTTCACATCAATGTCGACTTGAAGTCGTTATCTTTCAAGCATCTTCTACGTAAGAGGACGGTTCACGTTTGAGTTCCTCCATGGCTTGAAAGTGTGTCATCTTCTCATCTCGACGGCGTACCACCTCATTGATGATTGATGCGATCATTGAACAATCCGCCTTTTCTTGGAATCCCGAGGTTGCCGATCCGGGAGAATCCCAGGTCACCATCACAATTAACTGATCGCCATTATTGGTCAGAGAGCGGTCTGCTGCTTTTCGAACATGTTTCTTGGTGGGCGGAGTCATTCCATACGAAGTGAACTAACTAGTCAGGGCGGTGTAACAGGCTGAATAAATTTATTATGAAACCATTGTTTAAATCTAATTACGAATCTCAGAAATGTAGTCATTAGCGGTTACATTAATGTGAGCGGAACTAAGACTCCAGTTTAGAGGTCTATTATCAGCAACATTTCTCAAAAGGGAAGCGACACTTGTTGGACTAAAAAGACACAAATCTTCAAGTATTTGGTGCTCTCTAGATATCATCTGTATCGCTTACAGTTCCATTAATCGTCGAGTAACTCGAGCGGGTGCCAGTAAATCTTCCATTTTTCCCTGTTGCGTGCAAGAGTTGCTCAGTGGGTTCTGCTAGCTCTAGAGACTTGTCGAGCATCATATCTTTCTTCTAGGCTTTTCGTGAAGAACCCTGACCATGGAGTTGGTGGTGTTCCTACGGTACGTTTGACATCCCGAGGAATCCAGTCACTAACGGCTCTTGTCCATCGGTTGTCATTCATACGCATTACGTGTCCTTGGCGTACAGAACGGCATCTTTCATTTTTGATCGTTGACGCAGGTCGGAACTCCGAATCCCTTCCCTTACGTGACGCGTGATACTCCTAGCATCGCCCTTTCGATTGCGCCTTAAATAACGCTGAGTGGTTTTTAATCCTGTTTACGCAGCGACCAGGTTTCTGACGCATACGTTAGAGCACTACCGTTGACTCGAAAAGGTGGGCACGGAGTCCGGTGTTCTTTGTTCTCTTCACTACATCCTTGATGCTCTTGAAAACTCCTCAAGCCGCTCGTTTCCTTCTGCTCAGCTTTGAAGCTAAGTCGTTTATCGTATTGATTTTCCGACCTAGATAGATATAACTGAAGCATTCGGAGATACTCGTTCCGTTGAGCGTGAATGGGGCATGCGAAACCAATCCGTTCTTCATGAACATCGTTTTTGTGAGATTTTGTCGAAGACCAATCTTTCCACAAGCTTTATCAAAGTTGGCAAGCATACGTTCCGCTTGGCAAATGCTTGGTGTAATAAGGACGATATCATTAGCAAGGCGAAGATGATGTAACTGCCGACCATCGATTTTCGCTGCCGTATTATCCCATTCTAATGTTCGCATGATGTTCTGGAGGGTGGCGGTAAATAATTTTGCCGAAATGGTGTCGCCTTGCCTAACTCCTCTTTTGACGTCAATGTTAATATCGTTGTAGAACGGTGATATCTTGGTTGTGAAATTTTTGTACAACTCACGCAGAATCTTTTTGTACTGAGTAGGGACTCCTTGAATATCAACGGCTTCCATAACTGCTATGTTAACTGAATCAGCCTTCTGTAAATCGATGAAAGTGAGACAGAGCGGTCTTTTGTACTCTCGCGATACTTCAGTGAGCCGTGTTACCGTGTGGATGTGGTTCATCGTACTAAATCCTCTTCGAAACCCTGCTTGCTCACATGGCTGCTCTTCGTCTAGTGTTCTATCAATTCTGTTTAGGATGATTCAAGTGAAAAGATTGTAGACGACAGACAGAAAGCTCTTGAACAATAACACGCTCTTGGTTGTCTCCCACTGAGTAGGAACCTTGCATTCAGAGGGGTAACGTGTGAAGACCCTAGCCAGTGTGTTTGCGAGGACTGGCGGAAGGTTCTTCAGGTGTTCTGATCATATCCTGTCCGAACCTGTTGCTATTTGATTTTTCACCGACGAAATGGTATGTCGGATTTCGGAAGGGAGAACCAGTGGTACAACATATCCATCCTCCTTTATTTCACTTAACAGAAACTGGACGTGGCTATCGAAGAGATCCGAGTAGTATTCGTGAATGATCTTCTCCATTGCCTTTCTGGGCGCTGTATCTGTTTCGTCTGGGCACCGGAGTGCAATCACCTTGGTCTTGTAATTGGCGATGCTTCGATGAGCTTTGCGAATGCTTTTCCCAGCCTCTGCAACGTCGATCATTACTGCTGTTCTTCTCTCTGTGAGCTCTTCTTTTATCGCTTGACTGCATTGTTTTGCAAGTTCGGAAGTTAGTTCGCGGTTGCCTGCAGCTCGTGCTATTCCACGCTGGCGTATCAGCTCGAGTGTTTCTGGAGACAGACGTCTCTTGGTGACTTTCGAACTTTCAGCGTTCATAGTGCTAACGTAAGGATGTTGAATGAGCCGATCGTATTCTTCGTCGATGCTATCGGCAACGGCATCTTCCCAACAGCCGACTAATGAGTTTAATAAGTCCCAGTTTACGGTGGTTCTTGGACGTCGGTTTTTGAATTTAGCGACTTTTTCTCCCTCAGCGAGAAATAGAATCTTTCACGAAGGAGGCGATGATCTGACCGCGTGTAGAATTTCGGGACAACAGCGACATCGGTAAAGCAAAACCTTCGATTTACTGTAATATGGTGTACTTCGTCATTGTGCTCTCTACAGGAAGACTACCAAGTTCTGTGTTTAGGGTAGGGCTTTTGGCGTTGCGAGTTACTATGGATGGTCTTGGTTGTCATGATAAACTCAGAGAGCTTCTCTCCCTTTTTGTTCCATTCTAATCCGTGGGTCCCAATGTGGCGTTCGTTAGACGTTCTTCTTGGTTTAATCTTGGCGTTGAAATCTACAGTGATGACCTTGAAGAATGTATAGTCTTTGCTGCAGAACTTCCCAAAGTCCATATAGAACGCTTCTTTTATCGCTTGTCTGCATTGTTTTGCAAGTTCGGAAGTTAGTTCGCGGTTGCCTGCAGCTCGTGCTATTCCACGCTGGCGTATCAGCTCGAGTGTTTCTGGAGCTTCTTCGTCATAGTTTGATGTCGGCTCGTAAACGACGAATATTGTTAAAGTCGGTGTTGATCCACATCTTTTTAATGGTAAACCTTCGATTCGGGTTGTAGAGATTGTTTTATTTTAGAGGTTATGGTTCTTCATTATTTTTGTCTTCTAATTTGTCTGTTCTTTATTTAAGGTTAATGGTGAGGGCCAACGTTCTCTTCCATGTAGTGAAATGCTGCCAGGACCACCTCCTGTTCCACCCGTATATGGTGACAATGATTCTTCTGGAACAGGCACGTCTTATGTGAAATAATTTTCCTTAATATCAATCAGATGTATATTCAAAATTGCGAGTCTGTAACCTCTATATCAATCATGGAAATTTTCGTTATATTTCGGAATCTTTTTGATAGTTGTGAATCTTTTCGAGACGTTTGCTTTAATGATCGGTCGTTCTATAATGTGAAAGTTGATGTATGACGGTATTTCTGCCATAGTTTATAATACATAGGATACGTGTTTTCAGATTCTCCTTCAGAAAATAACAATAGAAAAACGTCCGACTCACCGACATTACCGCGTCCACCTCCATTTCCTTCGCTCAGCGTTGTCCCACTTCCTCCGCCTCCCTCACTAGTGCCGGGTTCGTTTTGCCATGGCGTATATTTCTGACTTTTATGTAGCATTTTCTTGAACTAGGAAGTTTGAAATTGATTGATAGGCAGCGATGCTACCTCATATAGAGTCATGTAGTACAAAAATAAGGTCCGCTTTCAACAGACTAACATATCCCACCTGTTGGCAAGTTTTTTTTTACTGAAATGAAGAAAAAAATTTGGATAAACAGATCTTTGCACGTAAGATAATTGTTCTGTTGTTCTGCGAAGATGAAATTCTGGTTTTCCGAAGACCACTCAACATATTTCTGTCACTTTTTTTCTTGTTTCAACGTCCACATTTTGGAGCTGAAAGTAGAAAATTGAGCAGGCCGGATTTTGTCAAGAACGACGTAGTGATATTCTTTGATATATGGCTGCTTTATTCGCCTGTAGGTTATGAGGTTTTAGAAAATTTGGAGATTGTTTTTTTTTTCTTGTAAGTTTCAATTCTGAACAAACATAATGCATAGAAAATGTGTTATAGATTTTGTGTATAACCTTAAGATCAGAACAACTCCACTTCTAGGGGTATGTAAAGTTCTTAACTTTTTCAGTATTTTATCAATAGAGAAATCATGGTCTGTTGGTAAAAAACCAGCTTTTTTGCGAATTCATTAACCGTTCAGATATTGCTGTGCCTCCGCCACCTCCTCCACCACCTAAAAGTACGACAGTATGTGTGTCGACTGCTTCGACGAGGCAGCCGGAACCTGCTGCGCAATCTTTCATCGCTGCGCCTCCACCTCCTCCTTCGATGTTTGGTGGGCGTATCACGCTAGAAAATTTTGGATTAGAACTTGCTATACTTACTTGGGTCGCACGTCCTGATTGTGCGTGCCTCAGCATCATTTCCATTTCTTCCGAGTTTTACTGGTATAGCCGTTGTGTTTGTCAGGAATCCTGAGCTTAGATCAGAGGGAATTTTTCACCATACGAGACTAGTTTGCTACCAGGACAGTCGCGGATCCTGGTATTGGTTTACTCTTAGCTAGGCTTCCTGATCGAAACGCGGGGCTCCTCAGCTCGGGAGATCCTGCCAGGGAGGTGAATCCCCCTACTGCACATCGTAGTCTGGCACCCAGGAACACCTCCCAGCGACGAGGAGGCAGTAAACCGTTGGGAGGCAACTTGCTATAGGGTTCACATATTGTATAATCATTAGTAAAAGCCACTTTCATTCTTAAAGGTTTCTTTTAGGATCGGCAACATCTACCCTTCCAACAATTCCTCCACCTCTACTTGGCATGTTTCATCCACCTACTCCTGGCATGGTCCCGGACATCGCCTTTCCTGCGTCGTATACCAACGGACCGCCCCCACCACCACCCTTTGCTCCAATGGGTCTTCCTTCACCAGTCGTAACTAGTACATCGCGGGCTCCAGTGCCATCAGTGGGTATCACTGCATCGTCACCGTTGATTAATTCTGTTCGCCCATCTGGTTTTCCAAATCAAGGACAGGTTCCTGTACCACATGTTGATCACAAGGAATTCTTTCCATGTACTTCATCTTCACGACCTGGATTTATTCATACTCCGCAAGTTCACTATCCTGCTCATTCAAATTTGGCACGCATGGTATGTTATTTTTTTTCATTTCAACTCTTATTTTGATGATTAGATTCAGGACACTCCAAGAGATCGATCTGGACCTGTTTCTGGATCACTTCCAGCTAATCTTGGCTCCACTAAGTGCTCCGGTAATGGCCGTTTAGAGATTTCGTCTCTTGTTCTTAGATTTATTATCACTTATCTATTGCCTTTTTTGCATAATTACCTTGCATACTCTTATTTATCTAGGAGCTACATCTATGTCTACTATCCCATCCACGTTTGGCGAGGTAGTCCCTCTTCCTAGCCAATTAATGTCCTCTACAGAAAATCCGAAAGGGTATTTTTTCCTTGAATAAAGATTTGTTTTTAAGCTATGATTTGCTTTTTTGCCTACTTCTGAAGAAGGATTAAAAAATCACTCAGTAAAGTATACTAAAAGATTACATTGTTTAAAATTGTCTAGACTGCTTCCGTCTGGTGTTTCAAGTGCAAGTCATGGTCCTAAAGATAGGAATTTGACATCGGCACCATCAGCACCAGGCAAGTTTTATTCATCTTGCATATTCCTACTTCTGATTAAGGAATGTATTCATATTCATTATCGTTTGGTATTAATGTGATCGGCTTTGTTGATTTCTAATTTGGTAGGCTACTCATTACAGCGCCTTCATCACCGTCTCAACAGTATGTCGATAAGAGTCAGCTAGTAGGCAAGAATGGGTACGAATAATGTGTTGTAGTTTAATCACAAAGTTTTTAGTTTTAGGTTATAATGAACATGAGAATATTGTCCTGCGCAATATGCAGTAGAGTGCTAAACGTTGTTCATTGTTTTAGGCCTCGAACGCCTAGCCCTGAAATCTCGAAGAAACATGTTTATAATGCGGAAATTGAACGGTTAAAGAACGATATTGAAAAGGAGAAGCGGGATGCTGAGCTACAGGCGAGGCTGAATTTACTCGAGATGGAGTTTCAGGCTAGGGCAAGTTTTTATACGGTTCCAGTCAACTTTTTGTTTCCATTTTTCCTTTTTATTGCGGTGTTCAATTAAAGAAACCAATTTTTTCATTTAGTTACCTAAGAGAGCCTCTCAGAGTTCCTCTTCCAAACAAGGTGAGTGTTTGATCTATTCCCATGACCGACTTTCTGTTAACCTCGGCATTAATTGATAATTCAATGTTTTTCATCAATAAGCAGACACGAGG